CAGCAACGCAAAAGTCGTCGATTCCGTTACCTGGCTCGCATTGACACCAGAGCAACCATGCTCACAGGTGTTATGTGGGGTGGGACGGGGACATTGTTGGTGGGTGATTGAAAGTGGTTACAACTGATAAAGGCTGATAAGGCGCGTCAGAACGCAGAAGTCGTCGATTCCGTTACGAGGCTTGCGCTGACACTAGAGCTTCCCTACTTACAAATTGTATTTGTAGTGGTACGTTCACACTGTATCATTGTATGACCTGCCTACTTAATAGCAGTCTATTGCATGAACTCAATCAAGTCTTCAGCAAATGATAACTTTCGTTCCTATCAGAAAGCCCAAACTCATTAAACCGCTAATCCTTTCGGGGTTCTAAATAATGGTGAATGTAAATAAATGATAAGCCTTAGCTCCTCACTTATGTAAACAGGCATATTTCATTTTCCTTTCGAGACTGACAGCAAAAGATTCACCGCTAAATTATCTGAATTCAGGAAGAATGGTGGATGTTTACAGTTGTGAGATAAATATGCCAGTTCAGCTCCAGACGTTATCACGCGTATTCTCGATGGACTTCAGCGAACTGGGAAAGTCTAACACATTCAATAGTGAGGTGGCTAATGGAGGGCCTCATGCTGATATTCCATGGGTCTTTCAGTTTCACTAAAGCCTGCCGTGTGATGCGCGCGATAGCGGGCGGAGCAAAACTGGTTGGTTATATTTCACTTACACACCGATTCTTCATTGTGGAAATTCTATAAACCGCTAAATCGCCCGAGCTCGATATCAATGCTAAATGTTTACGAAGTCATGATAAGTGTACCATTTCATTCCGCATGCTACTGCGCGCATTACGCTACAACCTTTAAACATCATGTGACACATCTTCCAAAACATCTTACTGTTAGTTTCTCAGTCACGTGACCTAATATTCTGCAAGTTGTCCAGTTTCACTAAAGCCCACCATTTGATGCGCGCGGTTGCGTGCGGAGCTAAACTGGTTAGAAAATATTTTAGGATAAAGTTGAGCTAAGCATTGGATAGAGCTGGAAAAGCTCTTCAAAATGACATCAACATCAATTGCAGCTTTCCTAGATTTCAAGGGAAATAAAGCATCCAAAAGTGGAAGTGTCAGAAAACGACAGAACTTTCTGAAACACCTAATACTATCGCTTTGTGGTATATGTTAGGTATAATTAAATTTATTTTTCCGCAATATTTACGTGACCTTAGTTTTTTGACTGAATTTCCGATACCTTCCACTTCCCAAGATTAGTTCTCGATTTCGAATTTCCAAAATTTTGCTGGTCTCAGAGGTTGATGTTTTGTCATCGGTATTTCCTCTCGGTTCTTATCAGAAAGGACTTCCATAGGATGAGTGATTGTATCATGAGTGATTTATTACGATTGTATTTCCCACGATTGCCTTATGCAACGTAATAAATAAATAAATAATAAATAAATAAATAAATATGAAATAACTTTAAAACTAGCAGTCTTCGAGGTAGTTGCAATCACCGAGTATCAAGCAATTCTAGTAGCTATCGACAAACCTGTGCCAGATAGCAGCGTACCGCACATTGCAACTTTATGATCACCTTCGCGAGCGCGGCATCACGTAATTCTTCCATCCTAGCGACTATGCCGGCACGGAAGAAAACCTGAAAGTAGTTCACTCTACTAATATTTTTTGAATCTGTGAAGTTTCCCACTGTCGATCAAAGCCGGAATAAGAAAAGCGTCATATTATCACTGTAGGACTGAATATCCATTCGAAAGCACACTGGTTAGTAAGTTCGCAAATATAAAGCTGTGTCGATTCGAAAGGGTGGTTGAGCTTGTGATCGCTTCGCGCTGTTTCTGGGATCGCATAAACAACGGGCTGTATGTGCGCCTCCCCCGATTACTCTTGTATATTCCCTCTCTTCGCACCACGGTTGACTTTAGAAAACAGAAGTCCCTCAACTTCAGTGTTCTTCATTTTTTTTTCTCATCGCTGGAGGTCAACTCTGCTACTCTGCTTCGTTTTCGAGCGAAATCATCAAAAATTTTGATCACATATTGTTTGCCCTGAAGACAGTCAGTACGCCGGCAAACTAGGCCGTATAGCCTGACCAAGGCTTACCAGGAAGGTCTTTCAGGGCGTGACAAGCTTTTTGAAAACGGTCTTTTGCATGATATAGGGGCAGATGCGGGAACCACAGAACCATGTTCAATTTTTCCTGAACGGCCCTCTGAATACCAGAAAAGGAGGTCCCTAGTTCGATTCCTCGTGGTAACAAATTTTTGCATTTCGAGTTGACGTGCCAAAATTCGCGCAAAATGGAGTTAGAACCAACCAGAACAATCAGAACTCCATTTTGCGCGAATTTTGGAACGTCAACTCGAAATGCAAAAATTTGTCACCAAGAGGAATCGAACTAGGGACCCCTTTTCTGGTATTCAGAGGGCCGTTCAGGAAAAATTAAACATGGTTCTGTGGTCCCCGCATCTGCCCCTATATCATGCAAAAGACCGTTTTCAAAAAGCTCGTCACGCCCTGAAAGACCTTCCTGGTTAGCTTCAGTGATGTTGAAAGGCCTCCGTTTGATTCTGATTCCTTTTGTTTTTTTCAGGAGGAGAGTGAAGTCTCCCGGTTAAATGGTTCGGTCAGTAGCCCCATCTCAGCAAGCGTTGAGCGACTCGATATTTGGTGTGGCAAGTAACCACATTCTCCTTACGTCTGCCATTAGAGATTGTATAATGAACCAGCCATTTGGGGAGCTACGGATTAGTTCATTTCGTGCTGCTTGTCTCTTTCACGTTTTCGGCTACGAAAGTCACAGTTCATCTATGCACATGAGACAGTTCTAAACCACGAAACAAAACTACAGGTGTCAATAAAAAAGCATGCGTTCGTCAACTTATTGGTGTATTTTTTTACTGCTGTTTTCAAAACGCATAAGAGGTAAATCATTATGATAAACGTATCAGCCGATAGTGTGACGCCGAAGGGTTACAGTAAGCCGAACCAAGTACCCCAAAGTGCTCTTGCGCCTCTGTGTTCTCTCCTTGCGATAGACCTCCTGACCGACACTAGCATTCCGGTTCGCCCATTTCAGCAGACCGTTGAGATCAAACGCTGGTGATTGATACCCAGTTTGTATTTTTCAGAAACCACTTCTCAATAGTTCAGAAAGACAGGTGTCGAACTATTTGAGTCAACTATCCATGGTTTGCTGTTCCTCGTTATACATCTGCGTACGTCAGATACAGCAACTTGAGAAAGGTAGTCGCACTGTAAATTTTCTGGCGCTCGCATCATTTACCGGCAAAAATTGGAAAAGGAATAAGGGGTGAAGCGTTCCAGCTTTATTAAAGGCAAGGTTCGTGCTCAGACCCACCTAAGAAGCCCTTACCATGGCTAGAAGTGCTGTGTACGCAAGTGCAAAGGTAGCACCACCTTTCTACATCGAAACCCGTCACTAGGACCCTAGGCGTCTAGTGGACTCAACGAACTCCACCAATATTAACAGGTCGCCACCGTTTCGATATTTGTCTTGCGTCACACGTAGAATTTTTGTATACTCTAGTTCTTGGTCTTTCTCACCGCTCCGCGCTAGCCTTATCTCTCATCTCCCTGCCTGTTTTTTCGAAATTCTCCACAGGCCGATGGAGCAAAAATGTGTATTCCTGCGTATTCAGGATTGTTCGTTTCATTTTCTCATGGCGGTTCCACACTTCAACGTCACCATTTTCACATTTACCCAAGAAACTCACACCTAATCACAAGATCAACAATGAAGTTATACGACAATTTGATCCCGATTCTTGCCTTCAACTCCTCTACATAATAGATGTCGCACTCGTTTTCCAATCACTAGTGACATTTGAAGGCGTTTTTAGACTGCATAATGAGTTATGTACACTAGCCAAAGGACAGATCAGGGTTCTTATCTTCCCAGACGATTCTGGATCTAATCACCGACTTCAGAGAATTGGGGAATTGTCGAACTAGGTCGCGACCTGATCCATTATTTTGGTCCCTGGATCACATGTGCGGATATGGTGCTGCTTCCCATTATGTCACTCGGATTCAGCAGTAGAGCTAGACTGAACTCATTTGGGTTATATTGGAAATGCTCACCTTGCTCGTGCCAACCTTGAAATTGTCCTCTTTGATTTTATTCTCTTTGACGAGTCTTTCGAGCATCTCTCTTCGACGCCTGGAAATATCAGTTTTTCTCCCTTTGGTTAGATAGCTCCACCCCAGCTTTTTTATGATTCGCTCCAATCACATCATAACTGAGAAGAATTTTTGAGCATAATCAAAGACGGGAATGGGTCAGGACATCAGGGTCGAGTACCGAACACAGAGATCCAGTTCTGCGTTTTCTTGGTCAATTATCTCGGAATGGTGCTTTCTATGACTTGGACGCCGCTATCACCGCGCCACCGTAATCTCGATGTCCTTACCCACCCTAAAATTTTGTTAACTGATATTTGTTTGTTTGTTTGTTCGTCCATTACTTCATTATAGGAATGCAGAAATTTCATTCAAGGCGAAGGGTCGGGCTCAGGCACGCTAGAGAAGTAATACCCGTGCCTGGAAGTTGTATGTGGGTAGCTGCACACATTGCAGGGCAAATTTCCACACTGAAAAGCCCCTTTAAGGCAAAAGTCAGGCTCGTGTTTGGGCATTATGGCGCCTGAAATTGAGTGTAGAGATGGGAGGTGGAACGACAGTGAAGAAAAAACGCAAAGAAACCGTCGACAAGGCCTAAATCGAAACCCCTTCCTTTCCAGCAGTGAAGGAGGCTTGCTCGGGGGAGAGCCACGTCCAAACGAGTTTTCCGGATATGCCAGCCGTTCCATCGGTTGATACGGCAATCAACCTAGCTGATCTCACACGTTAGGCCAGCCACGCACCACATCCCGCGGTGGGCGGGACCAGCTGATGAAACGAACCCATCGCTGTAAGTAGTAGGCCAAGGCCTTGACGGCGCGCAATCTCGAGTCAGGAGTGTGGCATCACCCCTCTGAGCGCATTCCTGGAAATATTAGTGATGGAAAGGCCTTCTATGGTCACCTAATCCTGACTCGTGGCTTTAAGGGCCCGGGCGTTCGGTTTCAATCCAGGGCCGCCTCGTCAATCCAGGACCGCCCACCTCCGGAAGTGGTGCGTGTGGCTGGCATAACGTGTGAAATCAGCTAGGTTGATTGCCGTATCAACCGATAGAACGACTGACATCTCCAGAAAACTTGTTTGTACGTGCCTCTTGTCCCAATGCCAGCCTTATTCATTCACTGTGGGTTCTACTTCGCATCTCTTAGTACTCAGTTTACAATCGCCATAATAGCCAATTATATTTTGAGCCCCCGAATTTTGCACTTAAGCATACTCAATTGGCAAATAAAGCCCCTCAAGTATGAGCTGGGATTACAGTCTTTTACAGATTGGGTGTTCATCTTATTGGACATGATCTCTTACCTCTGCCATGTCATTCCCAGCAGCCTCGTCAGCAGCCAGAATAGCATATCGGAAGCGGAAATCGCCAAACGTCATTCGATTGGGAAAGCCTTTGCGACAGATACGAATGCCTTCCAGAACACCGTTACAGGTCAGCTGAAACATCATCAAGGGGTTGGTTCGAAATTATTCGATGGAATTTCATTCGCAGACTAATAACTACAAAACAGATCAAGCTTCTCTCCATTATTCACCTGATTGAGGACGAGTGGTGCGTCGATGAGTCCACTGGTTTTCTTTTCGTTCGGAATGATGCACCTGATTCGAGTGAAATAAATGAGATGTTGTTGACATAAGAGTTAGTTACCTCAATCAGATTTAATCAGTGAGATCACTTAGCGCAATCTCATTTTTTTTGGAGTGCGCCACGCATTCGGCCAAGATTTCAAAGATGGAGACATTACAGCTGGCTATCACTGATGGTTGCATTGACTCAGAGTTGATTTATTTGCCCGGACGACACAATAACAACCTCGGCAAGGTGGAGTTGAATAAATTGGATGAAATATTGTTCTAACAAAGGAATTCAATATCTGAACACGGGAGAGACAAGAGGATTCCTCCTTTCTTTGTCTTCAGAACTATGAATAGTTTATTAAGTAATATATTTTGAAATGGTAGTTTGAGGCCTTTTGACATGGTATATACGAAGCTGAAAAGTTAATGTGGCGCACGCATGGTATTAAGTTCACCTCGACGACTTCACTATGTCAATCATACCCTCGTTATCTGTGGGATTAGTGGGACTAGAAGCGTCCTGCTTTCCTTAACTTGCGGCAATGGACGTCCCTAGGAGCCATTGAATGGGTCCGATGCGCAACACGATTACTACAATTCCATGGACAATTAATGAAGCGATAGTGGACCATCCTATACGAGGTAAGCAAACCAGCCCTTTTGGCGTTTCGGCTGGGACCGTATGCTGAATGTTGGGGAGGGGATGGGGTCCCCAACGGTCGACGGTTTACTTCAACTCGGTTGGTACGATAGGAGAGTACTGACGCAAGTGGTGCAGCTGGTCCAGCAGCTCCGCCAGAAGGGCTGGTTTGCTCACCCCAGGACTAAGCCTTGGAGAGGGGACGGACCCGTCCTCTCTTTAAGGCTTAGTTCTGAGGTAGCACCAAATTGTGGCGGTTCTAAGGACCGAAGTTTGAAGTGGTCCGTCTACCATCGGAGACTCCATCCCCTTCCCAACATTCAGCATACAGTTCCAGCCGAAGCGCCAAAAGGCGGTTTGCTTACGCATCCCAATAAAGGCCGATCACGGGTGAGCACTTGACAATTTGAATAACCTGATAAAATGTGGATGAGTAGTGTGAAGCATAGACATGAGGCTGGCAAGTGACTCCCTGTACATAGTCGATACAGTAAGAAAAGAAGCCGATTTGCCTTTTTTGCGATCTTGTGTCTTGCCTTAAAACTTCCACATTTAATTGAGAATTTGTTGAAATAAATTAGCATTTGGAACGTTGCCAACCTCTTGCAGCGGACTCTTCTCTGTCCACGTCGGTAACGTAGTCCTCCCAGATTTGGTGGATTAGACTGTTCTTGTCACACGTCTTCAGCACAGCTACTGCTGAGTCGTTCAGTGGGTCCTGAGAAGATGAACCCACATTCAGACTACTACATAGTAAATCAGCATTGGGAGTTAGATTTTAGCTGTTCTAAATGGGATTCGACCGGGAAATATCTCTTCATTGATCATCGACATAAGGATGGGCCACACATTTTGCATCCTCTCGAAGTTGTTGATGGAGGCGTTAGGTTCACATTTGACGGCGCTCAAGGGGACATTCAAGTGAGTGAGCCAATTACTGTGCTTGGGACTGAGCCGTAGGGAAAGGAGGGGATTCAGGGGGGAGACGTGAGCCATTTGTGTTTTCCTTAGCGTTTCTCCCTTCTCCTGGGCTTAGCCCTTATGTCATTTACCATCGGCCCTGTTTTGAATGTGCACCCCCCTATCAAGGACATGAGGCCCATTTGACCTTTACAAGTACAAACTGTAGTTTCCGTTTTTGCGGTCAAGTGTGCTCCAGACTATGAAACACGTGATGGCACTATGATTCTACTGACTCCAGCAGAATTCTATCCCTTAAAGGCAAAGTTCGGGCTCAGACCCACCTAAGAAGCCCTTACCATGGCTAGAAGTGCTGGGTACGCAAGTGCAAAGGTAGCGCCACCTTTCTACATCGAAACGCGTCACTAGGACCCTAGGCGCCATGGACTTCTAACAGACTCCACCAAACTTAACATGGTCCGCCCACCGTTCGATATCTTGTCTGCGTCGCCACGTTGATATGCTCTCTTCTCGGACTTCTCTACCACTCTCCGCGCTCACATTATCTCTCATCTCCCTGCCTGTCTTTTGAAC